TAGTGGTCTTGGTATACAGCCAGAGTTAAGAATCTGAGAGCAAAAGGTCTCCACAGGTCTCCTAACATTCTTTACCTGGTTCTAAGACACTTTCTCTTCTTTCTACAATGCTCACCTCAGCAAGCCCTTCTATCCCTTTCCTATTCTTCCAGAGGAGTGCCCACACCACCTGTCACAGGCCCAACTAGCCAGCCACCTGGCACAGGCATCAATTACACCTATGAGACAGGACAAGGGATGTAGGATGATCTTGGGAACGGGGTTTCAGAGTCTAAGGTGGGCTTATTGCCAGGTGGTAGCACTGTGAGCCAGCCTATCACCTGAGACAAGCCCCAGGCCACCTAAAAGCATATGGTCCAGCAGTGGCTCAGCTGGCCAGCTGTGGGGCTTAAGAATTAGATTACCTCTGAGCTCACTGTGGCTCTTCTACTTCTATTCCCCTCATTAGCTTCTTGCCTGTTCCTGCCTCACCACCCACAGGCCTGGTGTCCTCCCCAGGCAATCTGCTCACCCACTTGTTGCCATGGTGACTCCAACTGGGGGTGTGAGGACTGAAGGGGGGTCGGCTAATTAAGGAGAAAGGCCATACTCCCACTGTCAGGCCATCCCTTCTCCCTCCCCCACTTCTCACATGAAGGGAGTGCCCAGACTCTAGAGTTTGTTACTGAGCTAATTGCAAATGCCTGCGAGGAGAGCAGAATCGGCACTGGAACTCCTCATCTAGAAGCAGAAGCACTGGACTGGAAGAACCAAGGAGACTCTCCCATGGCCCTCTGAGTCCCAGCTCCACTGATGAGCACAGAGCAGGGGGCTGATTACACAGTTTGGGGAGAGAGTGGGGTGGGCTCTGGGTCCTGGCTGCTAGAGTGGGGCTGTAGCTGTGGACAGAAACACATCTTGGCACTTAGGGGCCAAGAAGGTGAAGGGAGTTCTTAGGTGCTGAAGCCCTTGGCTCTTGAGATTCTACTTTCTTTTCTGCCTCAATTCTGCTTCTCCTTTTCCTGATCGAATCGTCAGTCCTTTCAACATGCATCTTTCTCATTTATTCTTGCCCTTGTTTATGCATCCCCATGCTCTCTTGCTCCTGTCTTTTGCTGCTCCCTTTCTTAACTCCCTCTCTCAGCATCCCCCTCTTGCCTCCATATTATCCCTTCTGCCCCTACCTGAGCTTGTCCTCCTGCTCTCTCTTACCCTTCTCTCACATGCACCTCTTAGCCCTGGAGCCCATGTACATCCTCCGTCTCTCCTTCTGTTCTATCTTCACAACTGTTATCCTGCCCCAGTGATTTCTATCATCTCTCATCCTATGTACCCCCACTTTTTATTACCCTCTTCCTTACACGTCTTCTCTTTTACTACCTATCCCACTGCCACTTCTCACCCCTTAAGCACCTTTCTTACTGCTCTCTTTTGCCCTTTCGGCTCTTTCCCTGCCTTTCCCCTTGCCTGTTCTTTTTCATTGTTCTTTGATTCCATTATCCCTCCTTTGTAGCTATGTTTCATCTCAGTCGTTTCACCTTCAGGAATTCGTATAAATAAAACTGAAGACGTGTGCATTAGACATGTGTGCAAAGATATCCAGTAGAGCACTGTTTATAATGGTCATGGACAAGAGTTTAGTCACCTTTCCATGCCTTTCATATGAAGCCATTGTCTTTTCTTAGTCCACGTATACTCATTCATCTCTATATCTTTGCTTAAACTGTTGGCTCATTGTCACATCCTATCTGTAAAAGTCCTTCTTTGAGACTAATCTTGACTCTTTGTTTGAGACAGGGGCTCATGTATCTTTGGCTGGCCTTAAACTCACCATGTAGACAAAGATGACCTTGAACTCTTGATCCTTCTGCCTCCACCTCCCAAATGTGGGAATTATAACACACCACCACACCCAGTTTAAACAGTTCTAGGGATTGAATACAGGATGGAATTACAAGAGTGTACCACACCAAGTTTATGACATGCTAGGGACTGAGCCAAAAGCTTTGTGCATGCTATCCAAGAACTCTACTAATTGAACCACATTCATAGCGCCCAGTCTCAATTGCTATCTCCTCATTGAAATTGTTCCCAGTTTATATTATCTTAGCCACAATGAGCCATAATTCAACCCTTGTTGTGGAATAAATCATATGTAACAGACTAAGGTATATCTGCTCATGAAATTGGAATTTTCATGAGAGAAGGGACCTGCTCTCATTTACTTACCCTGTTCATTCAGTTGTAAGATTTTGAAAATGCATATCATGCTGAATGCACAATGGCTACTAAAGAAACTCATGATCTTATATGTATCTCACAGTTTAGTGGAGCTGACAGACTAAAACAAGGATGCTGGAAAAGGAGTATCTGTGGTGAAGAAACAGTTAAGAATAATTAGGGCTGTGTCCTCTGATGAGAGTAGAGAAAGAGACACTCTCACCAGAAGTGATATTTAGTCTGAGCCCTGAAAGATATGAAGGACTCATGTATACCAAAGATGGGTTGAAGAACATTCCAAGCTAGGAGATCACATGTGCCAAGCCCGGATGTAGAAATAAGTAGGGCATGTTCAAGAAAAAGAAAGAAAAGCTGTTTTGTGAATCAAGATGGGTTTGAAGAGAGATAGAAAATGAGGTTGGAGAGAGGTGGGCAGAGGTGTGCAGGGCTTTGAAGTCTGTGCTTAGACATTAGGCATTTAGTCTAAATGCATCTAAAGGCCTGAAGCACTAGAGTAACATAATTTGATAGCAGCTTGATTCCACTCTTATTCTCATGCAGTAAAATGGAACAAGAAGAAGTGGAGGTGGGAGGCATCTGTCATCCAGGTGAGAGATTATGATGGCTTTCAAAAAGATGTGGCTTTGGCTCCCCCTCTCCTGGAGACTTTTGACTAAGGCTGGGGACATTCTTTGAGAGGAGACATTGCTAATGGTATCTAATATGTAGAGGCCAGGGGTGCTATTCAGTACCCTACAATACACACCACAACCCCCAAGACAAAGAATTATCTGTCCCCAAGTGCCCCAGGTTTTTCTGAGAAACCATAAACTTGAAGAGATACAAGTTATGCAGCAGGAGCACTTTCTCACTAGAACCCGTGCCTGGGATGGGGGTGGGCTAGATGAAGGGAAGAAAGTACGCTGATGAAGCAAAACCACAAAGAAAGATTCCAAAAGCAATGGAGCAGTGTCTGAGATGTCTGCTTCAAACCAGGGCTGAAGCCAACAAGACAGAGCCAGGATTAAGTAGAGCTCAAAGACACATGTGTGCCTGGTAAGGCAGATTCCAGTTTTTATTAAAAATAACCCTTCACATTTGTATTGCCCTTTAGAGTTTACAAAACATTTTCATATGTACCATACTATTTAATCCTTAATAGTCCAATGATGTAGAACATGAATTATTCTCATCTCTTTCTTGACTTTAGAAGCTTAGCACTATCAGCAAAGGAAATGTTTATCAAGTTGAGTGGAACTGAGATTTACCTCATTACTTACAGGTAACCTCAGAGGAGTCAAAAGGCCCCTTTGAACCAAGTATAAAATGATTGAGGTGGATGAAATGATTGTTAACATTTCTTGCATTCTGACACAGGGTTAATTTTGTGATCTTGGCTAACAGTTCTAAATCTTCGATGATGATGTATTGGGAGCCCTGGCTTTGACATGGAACATCCTAGGGTAGGATGTAGACACTTCCAACAAGGCCTCCTCCAAACTCTGGGGTTAAGGTGGCTTAGCCCCATAGAGAGACACAAGAACCCCTCCCCCACATGGCACAAGCACTGATGCTGTTTCCTTTCCTCCACAGGCTGTCTACAAGGCCTGGCTGTGCTCAGAATACTTCAGTGTGACCCAGCACGAATGCCAGCACTGGGTGCCCTGCAAGCAGTACTGCCTGGAGGTGCAGACCCGGTGCCCCTTTATCCTCCCTGACAATGAAGAAATGGTATATGGAGGCCTCCCTGGCTTTATCTGTACAGGTAAAATCAGGGCACTGGGGAAGAGGGAAGAGGTAAAAGAGGTTAGGGGCACGGAGACAGGAAGGACATCAAGGAGAGTCAGGCCACTGGCAAGGAGAGTGGTAAGAGGAGTGGGCAGTCAGGTCCCCAGTTTGAGTTACGGCCAAACGGAACAGGACAAAAAGACCAGAGTGGCCATATCTACAAAGAACATGCTGAGCCACAAATCACTCTGGAGAAACTGGTTAGTCATTGGGAGAAGGGAACTTAGAAGGGAATATGTGAGGGCTGGCAGGGAGGGTTTCTTGGAGAGGGCTACCTGAGCCTCAGCGTTGAACATACCTTTTCCAGATAAGACAGAGCCATCAGCCCCCTAAACACACCCCAACACACACCCCTTCCTTATCCCTTGGCAGGGTTGCTGGATACTTCACCAAAGCGGCCGGAAACCAAGTGCTGTGACGTGCAGTGGGTCTCCTGTGAGTCGGAGAAGAAGAAGTTCAAGGAATCTGAGCCCCCCCAAACCCACCACCAGCAATTCCACCATTCCTATTTCCACCACTACCACCAACAGTACCACCACTACCACCCCCGCCATGAACCCCCGAGCCGTGTCAGCAACAAGCCCTCCCTGCTGCCGGTCTCTGGGGGCTCCTGCCTCAGTCCCAGCAGGATCCGGCTCTGTGTCCTTGTTCTTATGCTCCTCCATACCGTGGTGTCCTTCTCCAGCAGCCAGGGTGGTGGGGGACTGGGACTGGAGACACTGCCTGCCCTAGAGGAGGGCTTGACACAGGAAGAGTGACAACAGTGAGGGAGGACAAACCTCCACCACATACTGACATCAGCTCCAGCCCTGCTCCAGGTGGGGAGGGGGGAGCACCTCCCATGGGAAGTATAAAACCAGATGGGGGGTAGGGCTGAAATGGGGGATCGGATATTGCCCCCAATCTACCCCTTCCCTAAAAGCGGCTCCAACAGAATGGCCAGAGGGCCCACGAGGAGCCGCAAAACTCACCCAGGAGAAAAAGATAGGAGCAGCAGGTGTCCCCTTCCAAGCCCAATCTATGGGGCTTAGTAAAAAAGCGGAGGAGTGGGGACTGGAATTGCCCACTCCTGACAAGAGCCCTGACCCCAGGGAGGAGGCTGCTTACCCAGCCTCAACCCTGCAGGGAATGTTGGGGGCACACAGGGGAGTAGATCTCCCCCCTCCACATTCCTTTTCTTGCCAAGATCCTTAATTCCCTCCTGCCCATATCCCTACAGGTGACGGCAGACAGTGTGGTTGCCCTCCTGCCACTTCAGCACACCCTGAGTGTGGGGGATGAGGCCCACAGGGCTGCAGCTAGGAAAGTGCCCCAGTTAAGCTGCCCCCACCACCCTAGGCAATGAGAGATTGGAGCTGGATATGGAATGGGTAGTAAAAGAGAAGAAAGATAGGGACGGGAAGACGAAAGAGGAGAGGTGGACAGAGAGCCTGAAGAGATAGATGGTTGGACTACTGCTACCTGGCTTTGGGGAGGTGGGTGATTCATGTTGAGAGAAGCTCAAGAACGGCCCCCCAAATCAGAATGAGGTGCATAAGGAGACCCCTGGGGGAAAAGCCCAGGAGCCAAAACCTAGAAGGCTGAGGGCACATGGTTGGACTGCCGCTGTCTGGAGGGCCATATCTTACAGAAGGTGCACACACTCCCTAGGGCTGCTCTTGCCCTGGAAATCTTGGCCTTGTGGCCAGAGACCTTTCATTTCCAATCTCCATAGGGAGGAGGGACTTGAGCCCAAGTGCGTCAGTCCTGGCCTGGGTCCCCCACACTCCCCCATCTTGTCCTAGCCCAGGCCTCCATGAAGGAGAACCTGGGGGCGTTTGTTGCCCCAGAGCTCTCCAGAGATGAGCCTCCCTTACCCCAACCTGTGTCCATCCCCAGCCTACCAAAGAGTATTCATCCCTTCCCATCCCTGACCTTGTGGCCTATTGTCCCACTGAGGGACAGCTGGACTCCTCCTCACCCTTTGATGGGTCCCTTTCTCTAGCCACTCTTTGCCCTTGCTGGACAAAGTTCAGAGACTGGCAAGAGGACTCTGCCTGGAGACAATGTGCTGCTGCTAACCCCTGGCTGAGAAACTTGTTTAGTCAGTCTCGAGAGACTAGTGAGAGATGAGGCTCGGGAGCCTTTGTCCTTGCTCTGATCTGCTGGGGAAAAGGGAGGACATATTGCCTGGGAATCTAAAAGCCAATGAAAGTTGACAAGAACAGGAGCCAGATTCTTTGTGGGACAGACAGGCCAGGGGCTTTCAGAGATCAAAAGGATGAATAAGGGAAGACAGACCTGGAGCAGCATTACAGAGAAACCAGGTGAAGGTAAGGGAAGGAGGAGCCGCATCTTGCCAGCTTTAGGATGGATGGAAGCCCCCCTAGTAGGTAAGAGTTCCTTCATTCAAGGACCATGGTTGGATCCCAAATCAGCTTTATGAGCCTATAAAGCCCTTCTCTGCCAGTTTACTCATATCTCACAGCCTGTCCTCTGCCTGGACCATGTGTCCTCCATCTTCTGGCCCTCAGCACTTTGGGCCTGGCCACATACCCCATCCCTAGAGTGCTCTTTTTAGCTGGGGAGGGTAAGAGGTGCTGGACCCTTCCCAGATGTGCTTATGTATAAGAGAAAGGTGGGGGCTTTAGCTCCAGAGAGACCCCAGTACTGCCTTCTAACTCCTGTATCCTCAGGAGGGGAAAAGGGACTGGGCAGCAAAGGGGGACAGTATGGTCCCAGGGAATGGACCCTTGGAGACTCCCATCCTCTCTTCCCCCTCACCAAGTGCCCTGGAGACCCCTGGCTCAGACCAGCCCAAGGCCTTGCCCAGTGGCAGGGGAAAGGGGCACCACACTCCACCTCAAAGTCATTTGACTGTCCCCATCTTCCCGACCCCCTGATCTTCACCACCTCCCCAGCTGCCCCTGCCCTCCGTCACCGGAAGCAGAGCTGAGCAGCTTTCTTATGCCATTTTCTACACTGTGCTTCATTAGTAGGACTTTCTTGCACTAGTTCCTATAATTGAGTCTCCAAGCTGGTTCCCTAGTAGTCTCCCATTCCTTACTCCTTTCCCTGGCTATGGTTCAGTTGTCTCTGCTCTCCCCTTTACCTGCCTCTGTGTTTCAGTGAGAGTGTCTGTGTGTGTACTGCTTTCTGTTTTGTTGCACTGTGGGGCAGGGAGCTCTCTGTTCTTGTTTAACCCCTTAAATAAATAAATGGTAAAATTTGATAACTCTCTCTTCATGAATTTACTCTGTAGAATTGAACTTGCTGCACTAGGAAACAGTCTAATGTCTGAGGAGGACAATGGGCTGGAAGATGCCAACACTTTCGTTAGTTTAAATCTCAGAGGGGACAAACTTTGTAGTGTACCATTCTAGACAAGGAAATCACAAAGCCATCCACTTTCAGTGGTTAAGCCAGTAACTGTAACATGAAGGACAAAACTGAGGAAAAGTGCAGGTTCAACTTGGAGTGGTAAGCACTTCAGAGCATGTATGAAGGCCAAAGCTCAAGTCTACGGTTTTACTGTGGGAACGTGAGGCATGTGACCAGTCCTTATTCTGAATGTAAGGGAAGCCAGGGCTCACGATTTTGATATATTGTCCCTTAATTCCTAAAAGCTAATCAACCACCCTACCTAATTTCCTATGGCCACTGCACCAGGTTCATCTCCTCACTGCAAGAGCAAGAATTACTCAGGAATTGCTGCTGAAGGAGCTGTGCAAGGGCCTGTGCCACCAAGCCTCTTTCCTAAGAATGGAGGAAAGGAGAGCATTAGGCTGAGCTTCCAGATTACTCTTCAAAGAAATATAAGTCCCACCCCTAATTTCCTTCAAAGCAACGGAGCATGATAGTTAGTACATGGCCTTTGAAACCAAACTGGATGTGAAAAGTTGACTCACCACCTTATTGTAGGTGGTCTACATAATCACTTCACACAACAGCTGGTGATCATTGGTCATTCTGTTTTCTTTTTCTCTCATCTCAAATTCTGTCATCTCTGTACTACCTATCAAGCCCTTCTCCTCATTTCCACCTTGAATCCCACTAACCCATTTCAGGACCTCTTCTTGGACTGTGATAATAGCCTAACTATTGTCCAGCTAGTCTCTTGTCCAAATACTCTGGCTCCAGTCAATCTTCTACCTAGCACAGTTATAGGTACTGTGGGGGAATTCAATATAATGGCCATGTTTGAGGCTGGAGAGATGGCTCAGTGGGTAAGAGCACAGACCAGGAGGGGACTGTGGTTCAGTTCTCAACACCCACATGGTGACTCACAACCATCTATAACTCCAGTTCCAGAACATCTAGCATCCTCTTATGGCCTCTGTGGGTGCCAGGCACATGCATGTGGTGTATATACATATGTGTAAGCAACCCACTCATACACCTAAAATAATAATAATAAAAACTAGCATGTTTGAGTTTCCTAAAGGACACAACTAATATTCCTAAAGCTGATACACTGCATGACTCCAAAACACCAAGCACACATACACATGTGCACACACATACAACATCAAAAACATCAGATGACTCCTGACTGCCTATAAAATGAAGAAAAGTTCTGAACATGACATCCAAGGCTCTGTGTTTTCTGACCTGATCCCACCAGTGTGATAGTGTAACATAACGCTGCTGTGACTCAGGTCTTAGCCTATTTCCAGATGGTTGTTCCCGGAATGAGCCCTACACCTTCTCTTCTCCTGCCCTTTGCTCTCATCTGCTTCTTCTTCTGGAATGTCTTCTCCCCCATCACTGCCTTGCCGATGTCAAAATCCAGCTTAAATATCCTCTCTGCCACAAACACTTCCATATCCCTTCTTTTCTCCAGCAGGAAATAAACTTTCCCTGTATTTTGATAATGCTTTGTACTTTAATCATGGTACTTATCACATCCTGTCTGCATTCAACTTATGCATTCATTCAAAATATACCTATGAGCAATTACAATATGTCAGTTTGCTGGATGCTGGCAGTACAACAGGATGGATGCATTCTAGACACACACATGATTTTTAAATTAAATTGTAATATGATCACTGTAACATTGGCCACACACATGTCCAAGGCTCTATTGGCCTTGGGCATAGGACAGAGAGATGGACTCTCCATAAGCTACAACCCATGAAAAGTCAAGAGGTAGGGAATATGCATCTAAGGAGTACAGGGTATAATGGCTGTGGCAAACAAATAGTGCTACAAACTGTATGCCACCCTTTGACACCTGAAACACGTTAGCATCAGCCTGCAACCACCTCTTTGTGTGCACTACCCAGACACAGACCCTGAAATTCTCCCTCTGGTCAGTGCAACTACAGCCAACCTCCATCTCTTAGCACAGCATGAAAGGGTGAGGCAGGGAGGACTTCAGTGGCAGGGTGGTCATGCGACATGATCACCTGGAGAGTATTAACACAGGCCCCTTCAGCAAAAAGTCTAATTTAATTAGTGTGTGGTGAGGGTCTCCATTTCAGCATTGTTTAACAAACTTCACAAGTGGTTCTAATGTGCAGCCTGGCCTGACCATCATCATAAAAGAGGTGTTCGTGCAGCTACTTGTAGTCCTTGTTATCTCAGGATGAATGGGGTTGGAAAATAGGCCAAAATGAAGCTTCTTGAAGTGGGGATGGGACTGACATTTCATAGTAGTCATAGAAAAAGGAAAGTCTTCTCTGGGACTTTAACCTGAGAAATGAAGTTTGAAATATCTTAATTTCTTATTTAAAATGTGTAAATAATTGGAAATGTGTACTAATTCTTAGAACAA